ACATGGTCCTTGCTCTCCGAAGTTTACAATTACCTTAGAGAGATATGACATACATACATAATGTGTTAACTAAAAAGAAAAACTAATAAATCACAGATACACGCCTCAATATGAATGAATTTCAAAAACGTAATATTGAATTTAAAAAGTCTCAGAAAATTATAAATAGTATGATTATATTTATATGTATGTCTAAAATGAGCAAATAAAAAAAATAACTGCTAACACTTACAGGCTGCCAGCAACAGTTCCAAGTGCCTTGATCGACTTACTTCTTCTATCAACCCTAAGATATAGATATACTTATTATCCCCATTTAATCTAAGGCCCAAGAGGTGAAGCGATCTGCCTGAGGTCATGCACTGATAAGTGGTAGAGGTACTGAGATTTGATCCAGGACCCAGAGTCCAAACTCCTAAACACCAGGCTATAGTATCTCTTATCTTAAAGGATAAGAGAATGCTGAACTTCTAGACCATTTTAACAAAGGGCAATAAATTGTGAAGAAGTGGCTAGACAAAGGAGGCAGAGCAGGGGAGTGGGCTCCTGAGCGAGGTGAGTTGTGGGAGGTAACTAGGAATGTATGCTAGCTAAGGATTAGTATGCAGATTCATCTCTCATACCAGGAAGAGGACCATGACTCTTCGTCACCCTAGTTGGGGGAATGAAACACCTTTATGAGTGGCAATTTATGGCACTTAAAGCAGAAAGGGGAAGGGCAGAAGAGTCTTTCTCAAAAATAGCTCAAAATAATACCTATGCTAAAGTAGCATATTTTGGAGGACACATTCTGACCCCCTTCAAATCCATATTAGAAAAGAAAGACTGAAGCTAGGGAAACTCGGTGCTTAATTAAGAGTAGTTTTCATTAGGAAATGAGGAATGAGTCTGGAACAACAATGAAAGAATCTCGCTTCTCAGTGATTGAGGCAGACAGCTCCAATCACTGGATCTGGGGAAGAGGACAAAAGTATAGATGAAACAGTGTAAGCAGTTCCTTTGACAGAATGCTGATGTGTGACAACCTGTGCTAAGTTTAACAGCAGAATTTCATCAAGGCCATAAGCACAGGAACATAGCAAAGCTTTTATACTGTAAACAGTTGGTGCCCACTTTATGCCATACTAGGTCTGTGAATTACAAAGACATGCAAGGTCTGGTCCTTGCTTTGTGGAACTTTACTCACTCTTGTGTTCATTCATGTGGAGAATAATAATGCATACCTACTGTATTTCAGGTACAGTGGGAAACATTGAAGTAAATTTGTAAGTGATGAGGCACATGTTGTATTGAACATATGAAAATCAACACAGTATTATTATTTTGTGTTATGAGAATTGAGGCTATAATAAGGATTTATTTATTAATTTAAAATATTCCTGCATAGTTTGATGTTTTGAAAAAAACCACTGTCTGTGAAGCATGTAAAGGAGGAAGCCATGCTAGTGGAAAATTTCGTCATCCAGCGTGGGCTTTTATTCCAGCAGAAGAACTTCACAGTCTGCTCTCTGTGCTTTGGAGAATTTCCCACTCCCTTCAGATAGTGTTTTAAAATACTTAGTTTTCTGATATACACGCTCCTGAACAGGGAGAAAAATCTGAAGTAATTAGGAGCAAAATGTCCGAAACAGAAAGGAGAACACAGTAGGAGAGAGGAATTGAAACAGTGAGGAGTGGTAGGAATCAGGAAGGAAAAAGGTGAAAAAAGCCACAGATTCAGAAATAATCTTATCTTTGGTTAACTTTGCCAGTAAAGATGCACCTAAAAATTTGTCTAGCTGTAAAATGGCACATCTAAAGAGCTAGGACTAAAGGAACATGATTTTTTCTTTTTTTTTTTTTTGAGACAGAGTCTGGCCGTTTCACTAGGCTGGAGTGCAGCGGCTTGACTTCAGCTCACTGCAAGCTCAGCCTCCCGGGTTCACGTAACTCTGCTGCAGCCTCCCGAGGGCAATAGCTGCGATTACAGGCGAGTATCGCCATGCCCCGATAATTGTTTTCGTATTTTTAGTAGACATGGGGTTTCACCATGTCAGCCAGGCCAGTTTTGAACTCCTGACCTCAAGTGATCTGCCCCCCTCGGCTTCCCAAAGTGCTGAGATTACAGGCATGAACCACCGCACCTGGCTGAAACATTATTTTTAATAGTGTTCCTGTTTTCATGTTGCAAAGAGGAGGTACCAGTCTAATGGGTACAATCTCATGAGGGTTGTCTCATGGTAAAAGTCCTCCCAGAGCCTTTGGAAGTCTTCCTGCCTGCGTCCGCCATCTTCAGGGGCATCATAGGCTGCAGGAGCCATACTTAGGGTCACTTACTGAAGGTGTTGGGGAAGCCCGACAAAAGCCCAGGACAGTTTCCTTCAATGAGATTAAAGACAATGAGGATAATTGCCCACTGAAGGAATCCACTCCTTCCACTTACAAAAAAAGGGTAAGAACCCAGCAAAGGAGAGTTCCATGGCAAGACTCACATTGGGTATGGTTGGCAAGGTCGTAGCCATGGGATAAGGGGATGATTGCTGGGAGTGGTTAGCTTGCAACTAGAAACAGGAAAAAAAGCATATGAAGGCACTGGTTTTGGGATTTGACTGGGCTGAGCTATAATCTTGGCCTTGTTACCATCTAGCTCTTTGACTAAAGTTGATAATTTCACTTTGAATCTGTAAAACGCAGTAATAATCAATGACTGAGTTAAGGGATGGTTAAGCCCTTTCCGACTAAGTTGCCCCAAATTAAAATATAATCTATATTAATACATTGTGCTAGCAATGCAAACACAACTTCAAGACCCTGTCCCTAGTCCCTGGCCTTACCCTCTGTCTCAACCAGAATGTAATCATAAAGCCTCTCCAATAAAGAAATCCTGTAACTGCCACTGATAATAACATTTACCTCTCAGGGTTTGGTGACCTTAATGAAGGTGGGAATCCTTTCCTGTGGCCCTAACATTGACTTTAAAAGCATTTTCAGGGATCACTAAACAGTCTGCCCCTCCTCCCCTTTTTTTAACCTCAAGACAAATTTCTCAGTATGGGAGCTACTGAAAGTGACAGAAGGGGTGGAGAAAACGTACACAGGAAAAGAAACTTGTAAGAAGGTAGAAAGAAACAGCCTTCCATGTCTGTGAGAGATGTGGGGAGAGTTTAGGGAGAATTACAGTCCTCCCTCTCAGAACGTGACCCTAGACCCAAGAGCACCCCTGTCCACAAAAAGAGGGCCAGATGAGAAGGTGTAACTTTCTCAGCTTTCAAAGAAAGGTGGACATTTCATGCACCCTAAACGTATTTATTGTTCGTAACAATAAATACATTTGTACTGTCTTTTATGTTTACTTATGTTTAGCTGCATAAGTTAAACATACGTAAGCATACTGTCTTTTATGTTCACTCATGCAGTTAAACATAAGTAGACATAAAAGACAGTTGCATAAAATAATTATACATCTGTGTTGATGGCATATAATACATAAGGGCGTAATTTGTATGACAGTAACAGCACAGAGGAGAACGAGTGAAGTAACAGAGGATAAAAGATTTTATATTCTCTTGAAATTAAGGTAATATTAATCAAAACTGGATTGCTATAAATTAAGATGTTAATTGTAATCCCCAAGGCAATCATTAGAAAAGAAATTAAAAGTATAGTAAGAGAACCAACAGAAAAATTAAAATTATACACTAAAAAGTGTCAATTTAACACAAATAATTCAGTGATATCTCTGTAAAAAATTTCTTTTATTCTGATTTTTTTTAAGTGAACTTGGCTTCTTAGTGCTTGCACCTATTTATATAAAATATAAGAATATAAAACAAATTCCTGTCTCACTGTAGCAAAGTAATATTCATCCACAGATGAAGGAACTCATTGAAAGAAAGTCAGCCTCCTTCATCTCATTAGAGATATATTTCTAATAAAATTTTGATTTCATGCTGGAAGATATTTATTTTCAATTAATTTTTTTTTTTTTTTTTTTTTTTTTTTTTTTTTTTTTTTTTTTTTTTTTTTGAGATGGAGTCCTGCTCTGTTGCCCAGGCTGAAGTGCAGTGGCATGATCTCAGCTCAGTGCAACCAGAACCTCCTGAATTCAAGCAATTCTCCTACCTCATACTCCCAAGTAGCTGGGATTACAGATGTCCACCACCACGCCTGGTTAATTTTTATTTATTTATTTTATTTTATTTTATTTTTTTTGGGGGGGGACGGAGTTTCGCTCTTGTTACCCAGGCTGGAGTGCAATGGCGCGATCTCGGCTCACCGCA